CTAACATTCTGTGTACTCTTGTATGTATGCAAACAATTACTATAAGGTAATAACATTTATTTATGATTTCTCTGCGATACCTTACAGGTATGCCCCATCCACTGCCCCATACTTATTTTCAATCATGGATATCTCATAGAGACGCAAGCTGAAATTTTTTAGCTGCATATTCCTTGGAATGAATGCACAGTCACTGCACAACTTTGGTGTTTATGCATTTGGTTCCTATCACAAAGTAATTCTGTGTGGAGAGAAACCAATTGTTTTACTTTATCACATATTGAAAGACAGTTCAAGGAAACCATGGGCATGATTTGCTACATGTTTCCATTAAAGAAAAACAGGATATATATATATATCTGTATAGGAGTAATGAGCTTATTAGAGCAATGACAGGAGTTAAGGCAGGAGTCAAGACAAAAGGAAATCAGTTTGATAGGAATAAATGTCCAAAGAAGGCAGCACTGCTTTTACACTGAAACTGGTCTAATTTTCAGCTAACTTTCAGCTAGACTACTGTCTTGCTGCAGGTCCGTTTCTACGGCCAGTTGTGATGCCGGTCGTCAGTATCCAGCTCCTTCTGAAAGCTCATGAATGCCTTGTGACCAAACTTCCTCTCCCCTGTCATGAGCAGAACTGTGGCAGCCCTGCTCGAAACAAGTATACGCTGTGAATTTTTATATATCCCTGCCTCGAGGTTAGAAACTCTCATTACGCTGCGTGAGATTTATTAAAATAGATTATGGAAATGTTAATTAAGTCATTAATTACATTATTTAAGTAGCATTGACAGATAAGGCTATGTGTATGAGGAAAAGTTCAAGCTCTCTGTGTGGTTAAATGGAAATAATTGGTGACAGTGAAATGCAGTATAAACCACAGGCAGTAATGAAGACAGAAACTTCATGAAGGATTTTTAAGTGTTTGCTCTCTGGTCTATATTGCATCTCTCCAGACCTTGTGTGACTTGTCTTAAGTGGATGGAGACTGGTTTCTGTCCAAATACTGAAAGCATTACTTGTACCAGGAAGTAACAAATAAATCAGAGATATGAGTTCAGTATTGTACAGATTTTTCAGGAGTTAAAGCTAACACCCAGAAGTATTTCAGTTTCTTTATAAAATCTTGAACTGGAAAAATAACATTTCCTCATTAATATTGGTTAACATACAGGGCCTCTTCACTGAGTAGCACCATTGAAAAACTGGCAGAACATTTTGTTCAATTGTTCCATTACTGACTTAGTAACACATTCATGACTTCAAAATCTTTTATTCCTTGAGCATTTGGAAGAAACATTTGGAGTGACATTTGGGTTAAGGCCTCAAACCATATTTCCAAGCTGTTTGAAAAATACAATAGACCATTCTTGCAACGGCTCATAACTGAGCTGATACTGTGAACTTCCTTTATGAGCTTTTATCTGTCGACAGGTTAGCTACTGTTAAGCACAGGAAGTGTGTTTTTGACTTCACTAAAAATAGAGCTTTGTTCTGCCAACCTGAATTATGGACTGCAAATGATTCTGATAATTCCTGACAATTATATGTAGCCATGGTTGTAGAGCCCGAATATGGTGACAGAAATAGCGTCAATTCAGATCACTTAGTCAATTTCAATGCATTTCATTGCAATTATTGTGACTAGAATTGAAAAACCACACTGACAAGTGTCATTAACACAATGATCCTGTTATATTAACATTAAAATCCTTTAAAAACTGATCACCCTAATCTAAGGTTTATACACTAATGTGGAAGACAGTGCTTAAAGGACACGCATATAGAGAAAGAGATGTCTGTGCATCTGTTGACAATTAGACACATTCTCTGTGAAGGTAATGATAACAGAAGAAAATGGAAATAGATTCAAAATTCAGATGACTTCTCATAAATATGAATAATGTCAGTATATTGTCAGTAGTTGTGTTTTCGTCCCAGTCTCAGATGTTCCTTCTGTCCTCCAGGTCCTCAGCACTGATACAGTATCGGTTTCCGTTTCTCTGTAATGATGACTGCGTTCCCTCCTTGTGGCCTCAGAAGCCAGGAGTCAGACGCTGAGCCAGGCAGAGGCTGGAGCTGGTCAGTGCTGGGGAGGGAGGCCTAGAAAAGGAAAACTAGCTTCTGCTGTAAGTGGCTGCTGGACCGATAGGAGGGGCTCTTCTCTTCCAATCAGCACTTCCAAGACACAGCAACTTGTTGGTGGGAGACTCAGATGCTGACCCCTCACACTGCTCTGGGCTCTCAGCTCAGACGGTATCTTGGCAAAGACCTAGTGGTGTCTGAGAGGTGCTCACCAATTTCAGAAAGAATATGAATCTGACAGCTTCAGGCCAGCTGTTCGTTTGCAACACTGTCAAGGATGGTTTTGCTGTGTTAATGATTTGTCACGGCATGAAGTTCATTCTTAAGCATTTCCCCCATCACAGATTGATTTCGTAATGGGATCAATCTTAAACATAAAGAGGAAGGACACCTAGTTATTTTTGAGAGTGGATGTTTCAGGCTCTTGTGCAATGTCATGCCACTGAAAGGCATTGGCTATTTGTAATCGTATTATCAATCGAGACGATTGCCGGGAAAACATGAAAAAACGGTTATTACAGGAACCCAGAAGTGAAAAGCTCACAAAGATAGTGTTCATTCTAGACATGTCCACTCGAGTTGGAGGTTGCTGAGCAACCTGAAGGGTCCTTGACAATGTCCTGACACTTTACATCAAGCACCTCTTGATTGTGGTGAGTGACTGTGGAATTGCAGTCATGAACTGCCTTTGTTTTTCATACTTGATGAACTATTTGGAGCGCCAGTCTAATTCCTTGGAAGGATAAGCCCATGTTGAGTTTATCCTCTAAAGTCTTTTATGAAGTGTTGCTAAATTTAATATAAAGAATAATCGGTCAAGAATTTTCTTGAAGCTCTGTGTACGGCAAATTCATACAGCCCACATTCAGGAATAGAGGTGTGCTTATCTAATTTATTGAATTGCTTCTTACTTTTATAGAAATGTTTTTGCTTTGGGAGATAACCTGTTTGCCCTGATTGACATATGGTCTCAGTTTTTTGTGCACTACAAGGGCTTTTTTTTTTTTTGCTGTTTGCAGGTGCTGACTGCCCTAGACCTTTCTTCTTTCTTTATGAGAAGACTTGTGTGCTGTCCTCCAGTCAATACAATAATTTTCTGTGGTGTGTTTTGATGATTACAGCTCCGTTGACCACTGGAAATCTCTCTTCCTATGGAGTTCCATGCCAGTTACTGCCAGATGTTGTCCTGTTGCCACTGCATCCTCTTGACATGGTTGAAAGGTTGCAGTGTCACAGTCACAGAGGCCGCTGTGGAGAAAAGGAATTAGGTTCAGATGGAATGCTTACCTTCCTGCAGATTGCTGAGAATTGTGGGAATAAGGGAAGGCAGTGGTTATGCTGTAGTTTAAACTGAACTGGACAGAAGGAGCTTGTGGCCGCAGGTGCGGAGTGACCCAGATGAGTCATAGTGACCTGTTCTTGTGTGTCTTCTCTCTGCCTCCATGTTTCTAGTGTAGAATATGGAGATACGTGTAGTCTTCAGAAACCCAGGGCATTACTTCAGTCCTTCAGTTTTATTGTAGGGATTTTCTGCATATGTAAAGTAGGTTTTATAAGATCAATTTCAATAAAAAATGAAACTGCTCAGATTTAAGAAAGAATATGTTTAGTAATTTAACTGATATGGTTGTGCGCATGGGCTGTTGTCAAAGTGTTTAGTTTGTGGCTCTGTTTTAGGGGAAGGGATGAGTTAAATAATATGGCATGCATGCATTTTATGTCAGTGGTATCAAATTTGTGTTTATTAGATTGAGCCCTAGAATAACATGAAGTGTAACATCCTGGACAAAAGAGAAGTGTCACTGTTAAAACAGACGGTTTGAAATGCAAGAATATTTGAAACAAAAGACACTTGAGTGAGTTTTTTACATGGTGCTTCTGAATTTTATTACTGAATTAATCAAAGTGTAACCTTGAGTGATTTTGTAACTGCACTACAATTGCCAGAACTTCACTGAAAGCTGGTATTATCTGCAGCTGTATGTAAAACCCAGATTGAAGATGTATATAGTTATGGTGTACAATTGCATTGCAATAGGTGCATTTGCATACCTGACATTCAATGTGTATAACCGCTCCTGTATACATGGCAAAAATTCACAATTTACTATTGTAAAATTGAAGACCTTTCTGCTTAAATAATGAAAATATCATTTTATCACAAAACCTTTTTTAAATTTGTTTCAATGCCTGTCTCTGCACTTTGGAATATTTCAAAAGAAAAAGATTCCGTGATTTCTGAGTTCTTGTTTACTTTCTTCTCTTCTGTGTGTTAACTCCTGACTAATTTCCACTCTGGGCTGATAGAATCAATGAGTGGATGAGTTTCTCCCTCCTCCCCCTGGCCTACTGTGCAGGTGCAGAGTGCCCTCTGTGTGTCACCCAGGTGGGGCCGCATATCAGTGACGGATGAAGCATTTCATATGTAAAATGTTTCGGGATCCTTTAGTATGAAAAGCTCTCTATAAAATATTTGGAGTTATAAGTATTATTTTATACAAGTCTCGGATCATGACAAAAACCTTCAGTTCAGCATTTGGTGGCATTTAGACTCTGTTTGTAGCTACAGTGGATATAATTCTTTTGGACGATGCGCCCCTGCTCATGGGTGCCCCAGATAAACCTGCACACAGACTTACTGACACATCCTGCTACAGGGGTGACCGGTTATCTCAATGGAGTCGTCAGTAGATTCCAGATAAGTTCTCTGTGCCCTGCGAGGGGATTGTGGACACAGGTGGACAGTCCAGTAGTGGGTGAAGCTCACCTCACAGTAGACACACACGTGATGTGCCCAGGTTTTACGAACAGCAGAGAGGGAAAGATAAACAAGCTGAGAGATGCATTGCAGAGCGGTGATAAAACTGACTTACTGTGACTCAAAAATCTCTTTTTCCTGCCTTTTGTTTCCCTCAGATGCTTGGTGAGCTACTGCAGCAGCCGGTATGGCGCGGCCAAGACGTCCTCCTTCTCCGTGCTGGCGCGGTCGGCCGAGCAGCGCGACGCCGGCCCGGGCCCCCGAGGGCCCCCGTCCGCGGCCGCGGCGAGCGGCGCAGGCGGGAGGAAGCAGGAGAGCGTCAAAGCCAGTGGGAGCTGGGGCCGCAAGCTCTGAGCGGGAGCCGGCGCACTGCGGACCGACCCCTCGGAGAGCCCGGCAGCGCGCGGAGGAAAAACAGATTGACTCTCAGTGACTCATTTAGCTTCTGGATTGGACAGATTTCGCTCCTGCTGGCGACTTTGGCCATGTGTCAACGGGACAGACACCACCAAGTGGAGAGGTGGCTTATGAAAATTATGTTGTTGGCTTTTGGAGAGGCTGGAGAGGGGGGAGGCTGCAGAGAAGGAAGGGTGGATTTTCTTTTTTTTTTTCGGAGAGATTAAATTAAAGGCAACATTAGGCTGCTGGTAATAAGATGGAGCAGTTTGTGATTAGTGAAGTGGTTTTAGCGTAGGTAGGTTTGTTGAGTGAAGTGAGCCTCCGTCTGCCGCAGGTCAGTCAGGTGGCAGTGAGGAGTGTGACGACAAGCTCGACTGTTGCTGAAAACACCGCCTTCCACGCCGGTTGGAAACCCCTTAGGCACCAGCCTGAAAGTTGGCAGAGTACCGTGCTGAGGGCATGAGGCCTCAGTCTTGGTCCCAGCCCCACTCAGGAGGGCAGAAAAGCTCCCGATCTGGGAACACACCCTCGCCCTGCTCCACACGCCAGCTCTCTTCTTGCCTTGTTCTTTTCACAGTGCTCAGTAGCTGGAATCTGGAATTCAAGTATACACATTCAGCTATGAAAAAAAACATATTTTTTGGTAAGTCTGAAATGAAAATAAGGGTGGGTTTCTGGAATCAGGGTTTGTTGGGTTTCTGCCGAAACAGAAGAACAAAATAATGTGTCAGCAAAGGGATTGGATGGGAAGGAAAGAAAGGAGGACATTATTTAAGCTAAGCATGTCTGAAATGCTATAAACCGTGCAATTTCTCATTAATTATAAAGATTTACTATTTGATGGGTAAAAAGGGAAGGATGCACTCTTCCACTGATAGCGCGTCAGGTGAAGTTGCCGCAAGAACACTGGGGTCATTCCAACAACAGAGCAGCCTTTAGTGGACTAAATTGCTTTTTCCTGTTCCTTACATTTAAAAGCCTTTAAAAGCTTACAATTAAAGACCTCTTTGCCTTCACTTATTTATTTTTTTTTTGTTCATATCAGCTTGAGAAATGAATGATATCTCTCCTTAGTCAGTGTCAGGTGGTGATTCAAGACTCCATTATCATTTGACAGCAGCACACTAAGGCCCAGAGCCATTGTATGAGTATATTGCCAAAGTAAAATAAGGGAGCAGTTCCCTCTGTAGCTCTGGAATCATTCTAATGTTGAGAAGATGTTAACCCTTGCCTGCCTCTAAAGCTCACCTTAGTGAGTCTGCACTGGTCCTGCAGAGTGCAGAGCAGTGTGGTGAGTTTGGAGAACAAGAACATAAGGAAGGTTTCATTTGGTTCATCTAGTCTGTTGGATGGTAAGTAGCTACCTGATCCAAAGATCTCATCCAGTCGTTTCTTGAATGAGAAGAAACCAGGGTGCAAGCTTCACCATGGCTTAGTTGTTTGCTTCATGATACATTTGTGCTTGTAGCTACCCTTTCACAGAGCTCTGGTAAAGCCTAGAACACAACAAGCACTACTGTCACATCAGAAATAGCAAGCTCTTGCTCCATTTTGTATAGAGCTTCTTACACAACCTTAGAGCAAGTTTTCAAGCGTCTGCTCCTCTCTGCCTGAGAATCTCAACCCGGATTCAAGTCAGAGTTGCGCAAAAATCGACCACAGTGTTTCAGAGACAACATATGGGCTAGAGGTATTGTGAAGGGTAAGAATAAAATCAGATCAACTACTCCCTGCTTCCTACACACTTTTGGCACAAGGTATGGAGCTGAAACTGCGAGTGCTTCAGACAGTCAGCTCCAAGTGCTGCTCTGTTAGTGCAGTATGTTTTAACACCACTATCATTATTAGAAACTGCCTTCAATCCAAACTCATCTCCCTTCCCATCTTATTTGTGACACATTAACAGCAAAAAAAAAATGGGACTAGGTTTCAGAAGTGGGAGGGATCTGCTTATCAAGCCGGCAGTGTGTTTATCAGGAGTCTGGTTTACTTAAAGAAAAAGGACACCTCCCTTTGTCTGTGAATAGGATGCAGGTGTTTTTACAGTCCCTTTAAAAAAAAACACCAGCACCTGATATAACAGTGCCTTTTTTACAGCTCAGCAAACCCCTATTTTCCTCTTAATTGGCATAGCAGTTGAGAAGCCGTGGAGGGAATGATTTTGGCGTTGCCTATGAATATAGATTAACTTTCTAGATTGCCCTTTGATTTTACTTGGAAAAGACAGGAGGTCTATTTTGCTACTAGGGTGGTCCCAGCCAATATGAAATGCTTTGCCTCTAATTAGCCTATCAGCATTCTCACAAGTCCCTCATTATCCTGGTTTATATCTTCCTGTGTTCCAGACTGTACTTTTGCCTGGGTACAGACTGACCTTTTCTGTAGCCATTAGGAATGTGCGCTAGACTGAGGGATGCTGTGCTTGTTGATTTATTGAGCCATCGGTTCCCCGTGTCACCAGAAGAGGTAAACCAAAGTGACAAACATGAGCCAGAGAACAGGACTACTCAGTGCTACAATACCCGAGTCCATCTTTTCAGTCAGAGTTTTGTCTGGGAACTTCCAGGACCACAATGGCTGACCGGATGTTCTAGCAGAAGAATGAGTTTCTCTGCCCAGTAACTTCCATGGGATCCATTGTCCTTCTCTGTTCAGAATTTAGATTTATATCAGGAAAATACCAGTTGCTGTAGCCATAAACAATACACTGCACAGAGGAATGTGTTTCTGCATGCCTAAGCTGAAGAAGGCACCTTCCTGCAGGATTTTCATGGAGGTGTTCTCAACCGAACTGGGCGGATGTGATGATTTTACCACGGTGAAAAATGTAAAACACTGCCCTGTTTCTTTTTTGGGATAGCAGCAATAGGCAGGCAGGCAATTCAGGATATTCTGTGCTTCTTTTATTTGCATTGTCATTGTGTTTTGACAATGTTGTGGGTAAACCAAAAGACAAGACCAGAGAATGTCATAATGCTGATAGGTTCTTAATTTCTAAGTGACATGATCAGCACCTTTCTGCTCCTTTATTTCTGCACTATAAAATTTAATTTATTAGGGCAGATTATTTGCTAAGATAACTAACTCTACAGGAGAAGGCCAGGCAGTTGATCCAGTTGTACAATGTTTACATACCTTCAGCAAAGCAGCCTTCAGCCCCTTAAAGAGCTACTGCTTGCTGGAGTCGTACAACGAGTGAGTGTGCATGGAAAAGAATGAGAGAAGGTCAGATCAGAGGACGATTCAGAAGCAGACGAGTGTGTTCTCCACGAACACTTGCTTACAGACACCATGCAAAGTCATGTCTGAGCTGCCAAGACATGAAGAGGAATCGTTTCTAAAACCTGGGAGACCAGGCGCAGATGTAGCATTAGTTACAGGGTGACAGAAAACAACGGAAAATGAACTGGCGCTTCACCTAAATATCACACCTGCGGGGACAATGAGTGGCGAACCATCTCAGAAAGCAAAGTTTGTAAAACAGCTCCCATCCTGTTCGTCTGTGACGGATGGAAACGGACAGTCCTCTGCTTCCCTAATTAGGTTCACTCGGCCTTGTGCATCTCATTAGAGCCATTAGCTTCAGTGCATTTTTTTTAATTAAATAGCCCATGAAGAGGCAGTGAGAGGGGGCACTGGTCACATCTGTGGCTCTGTTGAATCATCCTTTAAGCTGAGATTAACCAAAAGGGGCTGCAGAGGGGAGAGGAATGGGAAAGGGCGGAGGAGGGGGGAGGGGTGCTCATTTAGATAAAGCCAGTAAACAAAAACACAGATAATGAAAAAGGCGAAAAGCTGAGGAAATTTCACTTAATTCTGCTGGACTTTCCTGCTGTGAGCTTGACTTCCTCGCAGCAGTTGCACCTTCGTTGAACTGGAATGAAAAGTGTTGGTGTATTTTTCTTATGATCACTCCCAGAAAAGCACTTTATTGTTTTGTACCACGCTTAAGTCAACATAAACATGAAAACTTGTGCCATTCTTATTGTTCTCATACCACTATCGCGTGTATCATAAATTTAGGATTTTTAATGCGCTCCATTTTGCAGTATTCATCTTCTCATTTGCAGCAAGCTTCGCTCTTTTTAACAGCCGCTGTACGTTTGAGAGCATCAGTATTATCTCCAGGATGGATCACAGGGCTAACGCACTCCATAGCTGTTATGAAATGCCATAGCAAAAAGAGAGCCCACGCCTGTGTGATTTCAAGGCTTAATATTCTGATGTGCCAGATGGGCACTTTCATGACTGTATGAGCGTGGATTATTTCATTTCCTACATCTGGGACTCCACATGGCGACACAGAATGCTGCTGGAGAGCCGTGCAGGCTGCCGGCTGGGGGAGCGTACCTTCGCCGGGGAGCTCTCTTGATCTCGGAGTGAGGCAGAGGCGCTGGCACAAATGGCATCCGAAAGGTTACGTGCCTGGGCTCCGGCACAAGACAAATGTTCCTGAAATATCGCTGCTTGAAATTCTAGCAGTGTCCAGCCACAGCTCCAGGCTAGCCGCGCCTGGTACTCCGACAGCACGGTCTTTGCTTGTTTTGTGTATTTTGTCCCCCTCCCGCTGATTGTACTTTAGTTTTGAAATTTTATCAAAACCCGACAAATTCCGGTCTGCTTTCATGTGAAACTGCTTTGAGTTTTCCACAGAACTGACTGGAGTGCTCTGTGGCAGTAACCTAGCTGTCATAATATTGTCTTTTCATTTCGGTGTTTTGTAGTGTTTTTTCTATGGTTGTTGCTTTGTAAATAAAAGTCAAGTGACCTGTGTGAATCAGGTGAAACTCCAGTGACTTTTTTTTTCCTTGTGCTCGGGAGATAACTATTTCCATCCCAACTTGAAGCTCTTTTTCAGCTGGTTTCTAAGAATGTCCCTTAAAAAGGAGAAATGTAAATAATGTCATTCTCTGACATGCACTGGTGTAAAGTGGCTATGTGACAGAGAAGTGGTTTGTCAGTGTTGGATTGGCAAGCAGTGCTGTACACACAGCTTCCCACCAATCTCAGCAACAGACTGGCCTCATGCTCCTGAAGTCATCAAAGACCAGTGCCTTGAAAATATCATGAGATGAGTTCAGTCATGCTATTCTTCTCTAAAAACCATGTTTTCTATGGTTAAATCTTGTCTCTGCTTCTGGCAGATACAGGTGACCTGTGATGGGTTAACTGGCCCTAGTGTGAGTCTGCCCCGCAGTGGACTGGCGTCTCGTCCAGGGTGTACCTTGCCTTGCGCCCATTTGGCCTCTGTTTGGAGTGAGCAAAGCTAGATCAAATTGTGTGCTGGAGCTAAATGTTTTGAAAGCCTTCTTGTAAATCTTTCACTGCAGTTGCAGAGGTACTTGCAAAACCTGTGCTGCTGTTTTGGTATCCAAAAGCCAGCGATCGCTTTGATTTTTCTACTTTAGTTTGTTTTAGTGGGGAGCATTCTTACTGTGAGTGGACAACCCAAACACTCCCCTGCCTCACTGTATCTCAGCTACATATGAGCTGCATTGCCAGGGCTCTGTTTCCAGTGAGACATGTAATGTTTTATATGAGCAACGTGGCTCTTAGTTCAGAAATAATGTGTGCATTTCAGGACACATTCTCCCTTTACCCCTTGAAAACATAACAAAAATGCTTTCATTGTTTAACTGCAAAGTCAAGTCTGTAATCTCTCCTGGTCAGGCAGTTTACCTAGCGATGATAATCTTGCTTCTGTTTCTTTTAGTGCAGGAGAGGACTCCACTCCTCTGGCCATGACTAGAATAAGCCACGCCCGCTCTTTTTTATTCTTGCAGGAGGTGGGCTCCCTTAGCTTTTCTTTAAAAAAAAAAAGCAGTTGGGATTGAGATGTTTTTTAAGAGCCCTTTATTCTTAAATATTTTATGTTGCATTATTGCTGTTTGAGTAATTACACAATTACTATTCAGAAAGTTAATGTTCCCAAATACTGTTTTTTTGTAACAGGGCATGGCTGGCATGGAGGCACAGTGTTTAGCATGGCTGCCTTGGGTTCCATTCCTGACCCAGGTTGCTAACTGCATGGTGTTTGTACTGTGTCTGCACCCTGTTTTCACTTGGGTCTTCCTGGGTGCACTGGTCTCCTCCCACAATGAGCAGGTTGACTGCCCCTGCTGTGAGTGTGTGCCCTGTGATGGACTGATGTCCTGCCTTGTGTCCTTTGCTTGCCAGGATAGTCTCTATCTCTACCTTGACCCTTCCCTTAACTGGAAGAAGTGCTTAGACAGTGGACGGATGAACACATGGCCTTTATATGGTGGAAAGAACATAATTTATGTCCACTCTCTCATACACATAGTTGAATTTAAAGTACCACTTAACAATCCGTTGTTAATGACAACATCATAAGTATCACAATGAAATGAAGAATATTGTGATGACAAAATGAAATTAAACCGTTACTGTCATTAAAAGTTAAACAGCAGAATGTATGTATATACAGGCTACAAAGCTAAAATATTAAATTAAGTCAAAGTCAACCTTTGCAAGAAAAAAAAGATTAGTCGTACATCAGGGTACATGATTTTTATATTCAGTATGTCTCTCTTTTCTTCCTCCCTGTGGCCCAGGTGGACGGGCCTGCTGTGCTTTAATCAGATGTGAAATAGCAGGTATCTTTGATGAACCAACACAAATTTGGCGGTCAGGTCTGTTGCTCCAAATGTCCCAGTTGTGGGAGGTTTTTGATCTCCAGCTCCAATGATCTCCCGTTCCGCTACCTGTTGAGCAGATTAAGCACTCGTCCAGCAACATTAGCATTTTATAAACAACAAGCTGGCGCTGATGAAAATGGGAGAACAGAGTGCCTTCAAAAACAGTCACCAAACAAAGTGAGAGGCTGGCGGATTCAGGGAGAGCAAACCTGCTTTGTGACTCTCCCTTGTGCACAACATGCCTGAGCCATTCAGCCATGGCCCCAGAGCGCCCGGCTAAGGCTGCTGGACATCAGAACTGAGCCAGGCCCATCGTTCATCAGAACCTGACTTCAGTGGCAAAATTTCTCTTTTTTTAACCTACCTTTAGCTGTTCAGTCTTGTTTTTGGCAGACTGTGCACACAGGTCTATTTTGTCTGAACCTTGTGATGCTGAACTCCTCCTTCTGGCCCTGAACAAGATCTATCTGTATTCAGTGCACTTCAACAAAAATAAAATAAAGGGCTCCGATGCCTGTGGCGCAGTGTTCTAGGGTGAACCTCAGGAAGGGCGCTATAGATTAGATCGAGTCTCCTCTTTTTTTATGCACAAGGCAAAGTAAAAATTCCCCCTTGCCCCTCTGGCTCCCCCTCCCTCTCCACGGGAGAGGCTGAACTGATTTTAACAGGACTGGCTTCCCTTCAGTGCCCGAGGTTGGATGGTGTTTGCAAGCTTATGTTCTTGATACAGCACCTATGTAGGATTTATGGAGACTTGGTGGAAAATTGCAGATGTTTAGTTTTGTGGCCCACATGATTAAATCAGACCTATAGGGCTAAGGGAAACAGATTCTGGTCGGTGATATAATTGAATTTTTATTATTGTTTCACAAGGTAAATTTTACCCTTTGGAATTAGATGAAAGAGACACTGTAATGTGATACATTAATCATACATACGGTCTAAATATTAGGCAAAACCAGCCAAGGCTTTAGCTTGTGAAAGACCATTTCACTGGGCCTGAGCTATTTTGAAAAAAAAATAAATAGAATTCTTTAACAATAACTGATCCCAGCCCCTTGGTTCAAGTTACAATCTCCCTTCAATTTACACAGAAGAGTACAAATGTGAGGACTTTGTTCCCACAGAAAAACAGATGACCAAGCTTTGCGAGGCACTCTCTTCAGATGTCTGAATATGAGTCAAAAGGAAGTGCAATTAATCTTCTTGGAAGAGAAGGAATATCAGGTGGTTCAAAGGTTTCATGTTTCACCCATGAGGGGACACCATACAGTATGTGAGTGGACCAGCGTTCTAAGACAGTTGTGTGGTTCATTACTGGAGGGTGACGCTGGGTACTTCTGTTGGGAGTGTTTGTTGAATCATCTGCTTGCTGATGTTGGAGGCCACATTTTCAGTATAAAAATAAAATGAGTAACTATCAAAAATCATTTTGCATCTCTCCCCAGATTTAGATATATAAATTGAATAAAAAATGTGCACATTGAAATATGTATAAATCACAAATTAAATGAATTATTTTCCTCATTTAAACTCTGTGGATGTGAGGCGGCATGCAGAGATCATTATAGCAATGATAGCAATATCTATGTATTTGCATGTTAAAGGAATTCAGCATTGCATTTGTGCCGTTTAAGATAATGTGACAGTTGGGAGCACTGTGGCAAGCTATTCTGACACGGAAATGTGTGCGGCAGCATAGCAGCTCATAAATGCAATGTCCCTTCATTGTGCTGTATAGCAGACTGCAGGCTATTACTAATTGAAGGATGCAGCCCTATTGTAATGTAAATTGTCTTCATGTTGCGGTTAACGGTATAATCATTTTTACTGTCCAACAAGATAAGGATTGAAGATGCCCAAGAAAGGGAAAAAAAAGATGTCCTGTCTGCTGGGGAAGGAATGTTAGAAATAGAGAAGGAGCCCCAAGAACCTGTCATCTGCGTTTTATCACACATATCAAAGTCAAAGGCCTTTCCCAGGAATCCCTCCGCTGTGCTGTGGAGTTACTGGAACCCTTGAAAGGTGAGGGTGTCAGAAAGCCGCTGAGAGAGCAGCAGCCCAGTGGTGCCCATGACTCACTGCATCACAGCACCGATGCTGATGGGTTATCCTGTTGTAGCAAGAGCGACTGGCAGTTAACGTCAAATTATTAAATTAGCTACACCGGATTATTCCGCAGTTCCACGTGCTTGTGTAGCTGTTGATGTACGGGGCAAAGATGAACAACGGTCGACAAAATAATGATGTTTAAAACTTTTCACGCTTACAAAATATTGAGAATAAATAATGCAAAACAATCTATTGCATTTTGCAAATATAAAATAGTTGCTTTTCATTCATTAACAAAACTGTATACAACAACTAAACACTTGCTATACTGTTCATTGCATACTGTCATGACCACAATAGTGCATGTATCTGAACATCATCATTAGCTGGGATGCACTGCTTGGATTTGTGTAATTGTATTTTCCAGTAGCAGGAAGAAAGCAAACGAAAAGGGTGTGAAGAACAGGAAGCCTTTCACCCATTGAGCCCTGCAAACAAAAGACAGGTCAATACAGTGTCCTGCAAACAAAACTGAATCACCAGAAATGCTGAGACAATGACAGTACTGAAATGCCTCCATCACTGTAAAACTAACACTAGCGCAGTTTTATATTTCCCAGAAGGTGCCGGACCTCCCAAAGATGGAAATTACAGGACGGTGAAGCTGACTGCCTCTTCCGCGTGTTTTCTCTGAGTGAGTAAGGACCCGCAGTTTGAATCTGCTTTATGAAAGCATAAGGGTCTCATTTCCTTTCTTAAATCTACTAAAGAATCAGACCTCTGTTTGAGCATTAAAGAAAGTGCAGCCAGAGAGACGTTGTCAACCGAATGTGTATGTCTGTGGATACCAGGCAGTGTGTATGGCTGCTTCTGCTCTGCAAACAAGACCTCACTTTCCTTTTGCACAGACAGCACACCTCCGAGCGTCTTGCATGTTTGCAGACCCAGAGAGCTGGGCAGCTCGATTCCGATAGACAGCACAAGGAGCTGGAGCGGCACGCTGCATTCCAACACCGGAAGCACGGCACTCTGGAGGCAGGTTGGTCTTCTCCCTCTAATCTGATACAGGAGAGCGATGGGAAGAAGGATCAGCTCCAGTCCTCGGATGATTTATGTTTCGGGACATGTTAATAAAAATATCAAAACAATCAGGATTCTGCGGGAAGAGATACTGCCCTGTTCCGTACATCATATAAGACAGTCCTGGTAAGTAGCTCGTTGGCTTTAGATTCTGTGCTCTATTTTGTTTTCTTTTTCCCCTAAATAAATTTGCACATATTAAGATCCGTCTGACACGCATGGCAGGGTGGGAAACTGATGACATATATCAGACCTGCTGGCTCTGTGTTAAAAGCAGTTATTTTATTGCTTTACATTCTCTCTTGCAGACCAATGTTTCACCTCTTGAGAGGCACTCTAACATTTCCTGTTCTCGTCACTAATCCAGCCTGAGGTATGTGGGATAAAGAAGCAGCCCTTTTCAAAGACAGATGTTTACGGTAATTTTCCTGCATTGTGAAAAGTCAGCTGCACCTCCAATGAGTTACTGCTGCTCTTCGTTCTTACAGTGTTGAGAATCCTGTGTTGGTTCGCTCAACTTGAGCACAGAGGGGAGTCCGTCCGCTCACCCGGATGAGGTCCGTCAGGCTGCTGCTTAAAGGATGTCTCTGTGACAGCTCAGGGCAGTGAGAGCACAAGCAGACGGCCCTGAGCTCCCCACCATCCTGCCACACCTAGGAGTGACGTTGCAGCGCCTCTGAGCCCCCAAGCTAACCCACGTCAGGGTGGTTTAGGTTAGGTGTAAACATGTTCAAAGGCGACCCCTCCCCAAAGAGGAAAGCATGATTCTGGAGTGGCCTCCCCATCCCCATCCGCTCCTCTCTCTGTCCCTCCTGGGTGGATGATGGCAGCTTGGAGGTGCAGCTCCGGTGTTTCCGTGTCTGAGGGGTGAATGTGATGTCAGCCAGCTCGCGTTCCAAGCGTGGACATCTCGGAGCTCCGCCGGCACGCGGCCGGTCAGAGGAAGCACGGCCATAAGCACAATAAAAGTCTTTGCTGCTTGTCGTGCCACATCTGCCTCAATGCGGGTCACTTCTCAGCCACTGGCAGCTCTTATTGAGCCCACACCACAGGAAGGACCACGTGTTCCTGGCTACAGCCACTTCAGGGCTAGTTGCTGATTGCAGTCTGATCTCATTGCCATTTCTTTAACATAATTTACCTTATTAGAAGTGAGGAGTGCATCCTAAGGTAGGTTGAGGAAATGATTCCAGCCCTTTTTAACACCACTAGTGTTTAACCTGTCCTACTCCCACCTTGGATTCTATTTCCTATTTAGTCAAAATGGGATGTAAAGCGTGTAACCCAGTATCCTCAGCAGATATATTCCACCACACACGGGGAGTCCTTCCCTGAGTGTGATGGATAGAAAGTTAAGTGAATGTCACAAAAAAAATGTATCATGTTCTATTTTCCTTCACTGTGGATATGCCAGCAGCTCAATTCCTTCAGGAATGCATTAACAAAGCAGTTAATTCTATAATTAATTAAAAAGGAATCATAATTCAGTGAACACTTCAAATTAATCTGTTGAGACTTACTCTAGTGCTGTGCTTACACTTACATTTTTTTATCTCATCAAAAACATGGCTCACATTCCTGTGCGTCGTGGTGTGCTTTATATTAGTTTATTTTGGCGGTGCAGTCAAAGCGTCTATGGACACTCACATACTGTAGCAAGCAAGCATTATGAGCTGGGTATTTACATAGAAGTGCTCATAATGTCACTTTAATATCATTCACAGCCTTGTAAAATGAAAGATGTGTGCAAAGCTACCCCGATAAGATCGGTTTCAAGAAAAGGACGGGTCATTAAGCAGTACAGGAATTTTACCATCCCAAAGAGCAATGAGCGCATTTGTGAAGCTGTGCTTTAGTACCCGACAAAGCCATGATGTTACATTATTTACTTGTAGTTTAACGTCTCTCGTAAGGGAAACCGAAGCCTCATAAACCTCGCCTTTTGTTTAAGTTTAATTGGTTGCTTTGCACAGTGCTCTGTGTGGAGATTAAAGGTCAAGGAATCCTTGCTTCTTCGTCAATCACTGATTCTCATTATAACCTAATGGAATTTCACTGTGAAAAACAAACAGCCATTTTTATCGCTTTGAAAAGCTGGCTTTCTAATTGTTTTATTTCTCTCAGCAGTTGCATCATGCTTTTGCCTGATCTACAATAAACAGCATTTTAAAGATCAGCAGCCTCCCATCAGAGCACTAGCAGGTTGTGAGCTTTTCAAGCATGTTAAAATACAAATAAAAAAACACAGTCTTTAAAATATTTTCACCTTCCAAACACACCACAACCAAAAGATACATAAAAATTCAATTTAAGCGTTTGGAACCATCTAGTATTTGAAACATAGAAAAGTGGGATTAAAAGCAGGGATCGTTTTTGTCACTCTTGGCTGAGGTATAAAATGTCTGCATCATTAGGTCATGGGTTTGTGCTCATTACATTGAGGAACTGTTCTCAGACCATTTACAGCACTTCTTAAGAAGGGAATGCTCACATAATCATGAGTTTGGGATTAAAGAATACACAGAAACTGTGTTGCTCTATCTATCAAGCAATTTGGCAGATTATGAACTGCTAATGAGCTTCTCTTAGCTGCAATACTAGTAGTGAAGAACAAAAAATCAAATTGGCTTAGTCACAAAATGTTTGCAGGATGATCCTTCCTCCTCTGCCAGCCAACTCTAAGACTTGAAAGATGTTCCTATTAACACTGGGAACCAGAAACCTGTTTTTTATCAACTAGCCCAGTCTGACAAATTAAGCCTATGGAGTCATTAGATTAAGATAAGAACTTATCTTTTACTTTGAGACAGACTTGTATGTGTAGTATTTCTCTACAGCTTGGATAGTAATTAGGAGGACTGTGTTTTTTTTCAAGAGCAGCAGACAGACCCTGTAGTATTTTAACCCTGCTGTTGTCTGCATGCAGTAGACTCCAGGCCTGTACAGCAGGAACAGGGCAAAGCGAGAGCAAAAGCATCTCTTACACAGTCACTGTGTAAGCTCTCAGCATTTGAGACATTTTCTGCTTGGCTATTTCAAAGCTTTTTGTGTGTGAGTGGAGATCCAGGGATGTTTCTCATGAGCAGCTCTGTAGTGCAGGCATTAGTGAGGTGAGAGGACATCACAACAGACAGTCATAGTGACTGAACTCATACGGGGAGCATAAAGGAATGTTTGATGTACAGTAATTTATCCCGATGCTTCAAATAGCCTGTGTTACGCCTGAAAATGAACAAGAAGATTAATTGACTGACATTAAAAGTTATGTACAAAGCATGTAAGTTAATGGAGTTCTTTTGATTCATTTTTATAGTGTGATACTGTAGTTCTGTAAAGCTCAAAACAATTGATGAGGGAGAAAAAAACAAGTTCCTTCAGTTGGAACTGTGCAGCCAGAGTTCGTTCAATTTTGAAATAACAACAACTTGAACAGTGCTCAGTCTGGACAGGTCTGTGGGCCACAGGCTCAAGTGGAACAGCACCTCCCAATCAAAGTTCCTCAAAGCTGAGATGAGTCTTTTGGGGTCAGTGCACAAACTCTCTGCAGTCCTCGTAGATCCAAGTGCGTCACTTGGAAATATTTAACATGTACTCTCCATGGGGGAGAGAAAAGGCATTTTGAATGCTGTTTTAAAGTTCAGTGCAATAATACTGTATTGAAAAAACTCAAATAGTGGCTGTGGCAAGGGACTCCTTCCTTTATTCCTGCTGTTTACTGTACAAGTGGAGGAGTACGTTGAAAGAGCTTGGTATCTGGCACCCAGCGTCCCCTAAATATGAACTATCTAAAACACAGAGCAACAACAACACAACCTTTAAACAATGCACTTAATCTGCAGCTTAACTGCCCTTTGTGCTCATTAACCCAATTCAATGCGCTTTTCTTCTCGTTCAAATTAAGCAATATTAAATATTTAATTAAACAAGCCTGAATTTCCTACTTTAATCTATATTTCTTTCTCTTTAAATGTTATTAATGCTTTAGTACCAATGCTTTACAACAGCAGGAATCCCCACGCTTTACGATTCCTTCAGAAGAATCTCTGTGTGAGAAGTCAACACTCATACCCACACTGCTCTAATCACACATAAATATGCATTCAACACGCCTTTTGTAAACCATTTCAAAGTTGCATGTAATGAGCTGTGGAGCTGTGTGGAGCTGTGTTTCCCAGGGTGTGGGGCTACCTTGGTGGCTCCTGGAGAAATCTCAGACAGGTGGACGTATCGGAGGCCTGTCTCTCTCACTGCACTGCCACTGGGGAAGCTGCCCAATTGAAGATCCTGGTAATTATGCCCCATTTACCAAAATGGGCTCCTTTAAGAGAGGGACTCTATTGTAAGCCAGCGAAAAGGGAAAAGCACATTATATTTTCTATTTTAATGGGCATTAAATAAGCAAAGCTTCCAAATAACATACTGCAAAATGTAAAAAGCATAGACTTGGGACATAAATGGCAAGTATAGCTCTTGGGCATGTTGACGTCTCTTTGATGTGAGGCCTAACTAGCTTTGGCTAGTTTTTGTACACAGACTGACTGATGTGTTTATTCCCTTTATTGGAGCATTCTTATTTAGTAGGTTATGCCAGCAGTACCTTTAATGCTTGATGCACTAATGTTGCAGTGGAGATTTCTTTAAAGTTTCAGCTTATTAGTGCACTGTGTGATTTTTTGGAGGGGGAGGGGTTAGAACAGTTTTTATAGTGAGTTTGACCATCAGTTCTGCAATTTCCTTCACATTTAAAGGCACAGTATGCTATATAATGGGATTGACCACTAATTATATACTGTACTGAATCAAAGATGTAAGAAGGAGAAAATGTTCAATTTTGACATTCTACAAAATCAAAAGGCAAGCTTTCTCTTTGTGGTTTTATACCACTATTAACTAAAAATAAACAAAAAGATTAACTGCAGAAGATAATCTAACAAAGTAAACAGAATCCTTCCCATTTTTTACAAATGCTATGTTTTTCTTACATCACACACAATAGCATAATTGTGTGTTGCTGTTACTAGTCATAACTGAAAACTGTCATAACTGAAAAATCATAGAAAATAGGTTTATCCACTTTGTTTCAGCCAAGAGACATGATGTTCTGATAAGAAGGTCTCAGAAAGCTCCCTTCTTTCCTTGAAGTGGTGTGAATTTCATGTTTCCTAGATCCTGATATACTACGCATAGAACAATGTTAACCACAACCTGATATCCAGGTCTATAATAGCTCACATTGCACAAAGAGGATATACTGTAAGTGTCAATGTTTTAGAACATGATGACTTTAAGTTATTAGAAGACCCTGCAGTTTTGTTCAAATCTGGTTTGGGAAAGTGTCTGACACCAACCTTACTTATCCAGTTACTCCAGTGCAACAACCCATTCTTGCGTGATAATTTAAAAAAAACAATAACAACTACACAGTATTGTAGCCTATTTTTAATTAACCTTTTAACTGGGGAGCTAATGAAGTTTGTTTTCCTGTAAGGCTTGATTATGGGAATTAAATATGCAGGTATAGTGAGGGAGCAAATGAAAGCAGAATTTCTATGGGGTGTTGTTGTTGATTTCCTTGCTTATTGTTCTGCTAACAGCGCCATGCTTCTGGATGGAACTACCCTGGCCCTGGAGCTGCAAAGCAAGGAGAGAATGCAAAACCAGAGGGCAGAAAGCAATCAGCGCACTTGCCCTCACCATGGAAAATTACCCAGGCCGGTGAGTGCTTAACTGGGGGTTTCAGCAGCAAGACAGTTAATACGCACTGTGCACTCATACTGTTTTAACTAGCCCCTCATACTAGCCTGGTTTAAATGAGAAGCCCTCGGCGCAAATAGATCTACATGTTCATTTGGTATATTAAGAGAGGCACATAGTTAAAGAGTGTTCATTACAATTGTAAATTCCAGCCCCAGGGCCCTTAGCCCAGTGCTAGATTACATGAGGTCTATGTTCATGGACAGCATTTGGCGTCTGATTGAAGGTCCAGTGCAGCTAATTAATTTCATTAGGAAGTGAAGTCATCTTCTAGCAGGAATTAATATTTGGAGCTTCATGTTGCTAATTCATTTCCAGATTTAATTAGCTCAGAGAAGAAATGTTGCTTGGGCAAGAGGACTTTTTAATTATCAGCTTGGATAAATTTGAAAATGTTGATGCCTAGGGGTTGAGTTAATTAAAACCTGCATTATTTTAACTTTAATTAGCTCCCATCTTTGTTTTGCTTCACCATATGGCCATGTCCTGTAGTCAAATTTAGTTAATTAAGCTAATTAAGCTAATCATTTTAATTACTCAAGACAATGTGATTGGATAGAGGATGACTACAAGTTTATGGCCAAGTACTTCTTTTTCATTAAGTTGAAGGGACAGAGTTATTTCTGATTGCGGCTGGCAAGCTCTGCCGTGCAGTCCAGGGATGTGACAGCCTCAGAGATATTAAGGCTGAAGCCTAATTGCATTTCTTGATAAAAACAAAATGTCACTAACACAACTCTTTTAAAGAGGAGAATAATTTAGTGCTACATCTATTAGCATTCTGTTAAGTCCTGGTACGGTTAGGGCTGTTGGCCATCCTTAAACAGAATAAAATAATAACACAAAGTCACTCAGGAATAGGAGTTCTTTCAGCACTCATCCTCAATTTGTTTTGTCTACTAGTCTTTAAACTTTCTGTCAAGAATCTACAGCTGTATCGCTGCAAAAGAAAAAGGAGCTGTTTCTTAATAGATTCTTTAATATTTTCTTTGAAGCCGAAGTCCCTTTGTGCTTATCAGCAGTGACAGAATGTTATAACAGGGCATTTGTGACGACTTTCCATAGGCAGACAGATTGTAACGGACAAGCAAGATAGGTCTTCTTTCCCCTTCAGCAGAACAGTGCCTTTTTATTTTCAGATCATTCATATATGGAACCCTGAGTTGTTCCTTTGTCATAAACAAACTCTAATTCTGAATTAAATCAGAAAACCAAATTAATTCTAAAACCAACATGAGTAATGTGGATAATTAAGGATGAAAAATAAACTCACAGATAATGTTGTGGATAACAAGAAACAACAACAAGAAACTCTAAACCACTTAGACTAAAAATATTTAATAAAAAAACAAAACGAGTCTATCTGTACATAAAACACTGTGTCTTATCTTGCGAGCCTTAAATAGACCTACTGAATACGGTTGATTTTTTTCCCGTCTTTTTCAATGATGCACATTAAATTGATTTTTATTGCTTTTCTATGTAAGTGTTACCTTAAAGTTGCAAAAACTGAACTGACATTATTAAATTCACTGAAAAGGAAATAAACCAAAGTCTACAGAGTTCCGCGAGGACGTTTCCAGTTAGGGACTGTTCTCCAGTTGGGCCACTCCAAGATTTTACCCACCTTAAGATCTAAATAAGGCTTCAGCTCCTCTGATTTAAGAGGACACGCCTTAGATCAGGGTCTACAAAAGAGTCCTTGATTAAGAAATGATCATGAAGTTATTGTTACCTACTGTATCATTAGCAAATGATAAACACTGGAGCAGTAAGTCTTACTCAGAGCTCTTTTAGGGCATGAGTGTCCGCCAGGTGTGGGAACATTTCCAACAGGCTGCACACACTAACAGGTCCCCTGAGCTGCTGCCTTTCCCTTAAACAGCCCTCACTGCCCTGTCAGGCCCGGAGGCCTGGCTGTGTGGCCCCTTACAGAGACGCTCAGCACAAACATGAGGCGAGGCCCTGGAGTCCAGCCTGGCCAACAGATGCGAAGTCTAAACGGGCTAATGGAAAAACGCATGGAGACACGATGTCCGTGGTTTCCATCATTGTTAAAAGATTTCGGCCTTCGTAGTACCCCCACTTAGGTAATTTGTTTCCTTGCGTAATCCTATTGCCTATTATTAAATTAACCAACTGGTCATTTCTGTTTTTAGTACATAAATAACTCAGTTGCCAGGGGCATGGGCAGTATGTGTTGTGTCTCATCTTATTATAGGACGTCGCTTAATATTTTCATCTGAAGAGGTGACTTTCAGTCCTGGGTGACCTCAGTCATGCGCTGCGCCACCATACAATGTTTGAACCAGTAAATACCACTCCTGTATCACAGCTTCATGCTTTGACAGGGCTGTTAGGCATTTTTGGCATTTTTGCCATCTTTAGCAGTTATCAGTAGAAGAACAAGTTCAATTAGGTAGATGTGTCAGCATGCGTAGGAACAAGACAACATTAATTTGGGTCATTCCTGGAGCCTTGGAATTTTGTATATAGTCTTCTTTGCTGTTGATTTCAAAATCACAGATATGTAAAAAGGAAATGTTTAGTTTAAGACTATAACAGAGGGTACAAATGAGAGAAGGCACTTCTTCCTCATTCTACCTCATTTTGGTAGCTAGGAGCCAATTACTATGATAGTCTCATCCAGACTCTTGTTGAAAGAAGACTGGCTAACTTGGCTCAGACTCCAAAGTCCCTTTGTGTGATGAAGTGCCTCCTGTTCTCAGTCTTAAATGCACTTCCATGTAATTTCCATCTGAGTTGCCCTCTGGTTTGTGTTTCACTATGCTTTCTGCACAAGTCCACCGGGTTGACTTTGTCTGTGCCTTTGAGGACTTTAAATTCTTGGCGTGCTTGGTTTTCATGTCAGTCTTCAATGGATTGCAAAGGAAGGAGCTCTTATGAGATCCCTCAGTGATTAAAGTGTGCAATGTGACAGTGGAATTCGTCATCCCTTTGCATTCTACATTTGGGCAGTTGCAGACAGACAATAATTACTCACCCTACTCTGGCTACAGCCAGCTCTGCTGCTTTCAGGCCATGCCTGCAGAAACATTTGTAGATATGGTGATGGCACATTGCACAATGGCCACAGAAGCATGATAAAGGGCACGTCTTCTGAAGAACCAGCTGGCCAGATGGCGAGCCCAGTGGCTAATGCCCTTCTCTGCTCTATGACAAGTACAGCCATGCTGTAGTCTCAGGCGGCTGCAAGACACAAAAATATCAGTGAGTCAGAGACCGTTGGGTGTTAAACCCAAGCCAGTGTTACACGCAGACCAGTAGCCAGGAGTAATTTAAAATGCATTATCTCCTGTAATGCTAACAGAACCCTTGCAAAACTTTAGTTCTTTGCCAAATTAATGAGATCCTTGAAGACTCCTCAACATCACATTACAGTGAAAGACATCATCCCTGGCAAACATTCACACTTACGCAGAGAGCTGAGAAAGCCTTGCTTCCACTGCATATCCAGCAGTGCCTGAAAACGACAATAATAAAGGCTAAAACTTTTTGTCTCAAAGGTGCAGCAATACAACACTTTCACAGGCAAATCTGTCTCTGCATCAGACGTTTGGTAGACTGAAACATCACAACTTTCCTACCAGATAGAGTCCAAATTGCGGGATGTACACGTTTACATATGAACTTGCGCATCAGCAAAAAAGGGAAGTGAGTTTTTTCCATTCACTGAAATTCGTGGCCCCTGACATTTTTCAAATGGCGCTCTGAAATTGTATATTTAAAACAAAATGCAATCAGTACTGAACAGTAGAATGTCTGTGCCAGATATAATAAACACTTAAAATGATAAAGAAGACTTTGGCCAAATAGGCTGGTACTCCAGGTAAAAATCACACCCCTAAATCTCACACCACCACTGGAGAAAGAGTACCAATATTAAAACAAAGAATAATTTCACAAGAATTCATTTACATCAGCTGGTTCATCTTTTCTGAAACTGCCTGTTGGCTTGTAGCTTGCTCTGCTGCTAACCTCTGCCTCCTTCATCGTGCGGGAGCGCTAATTCCTGTTCCAGCAGGGGTAAATCCCACTCAAGCCCTCTCGCGACCCGGCCAGCACGACTTGCAGCGAGCCAGCTTGCTAGATTAGGGAGCAGTAGGGAAGGGAGCCCGAGAGCCGGAGAGCACAGAACGAGCAGCTGCTCCCGGGGCAGTCGCTACACCCAGGCCCTGGTCTCAGGAGGCAATTAGGCAGCACTCTGACAAATGCTCCCCCATCCTGCCCCCCACCGCCCCACTTCCAATGCCTAATTAAAGCGTTCGCATTAATAGTCCACAGTTTAGATGGTGTCATGCAGTTGCTTATCTGTCAGCAAGACTGTTGGTCGAAAAGAAAGGATGTCATCGATGTTTAGTTCCGGGGGAAGCTGTAAAACCCAATAATGGCTTTTGCTGAAACTATCATTAGGGAATGTAGCACCAGGGCCTGCAGTGCCTTGACTTGAGCCCTATCCAGCACACTCCGCCAACAAGACTGAGAAATTTCCAAATGTGGAAGTGAGAAAGGGTGTAAAATAGTCAGCACCCCATGCAGACAAAAGGTTTGATGTAAAACATACAAGGAGAGAAGTAAAAAACATAAATCGTACAGTAGCACATGATATGAAGAACAAAAGCATTTCTTCTTGGCCTGTTTAGATGGGGTTTTCATGGTGTGTTAATGATATCTGAAGATCAAGCGGTTTAAAAAAAACAGCTAAAACAAACCTTTACAATTAAATCTTTACATTCAGTGTTGGGGTGCTTGTTCTTGAGGTAACGTGACCTGCCCTGTGTCATTTCTTGTTTAAATGATGCTGTTGCTGAAGGAGCAGAGAGGCTGCGCCACATTGGGCCTTCCTGGTGAAAGCCACATTTAGTCATTATTGATCAAACACTCATTTGGTCCTACAAACTTTCTTCAAAAAAGTTTTACAAAATCTAATTAGGCCAAAGGTCTGGAGGGCAGCCAGTTACAAAACAAATTCAGTTCCCCTCAGTCTGCCAGCTACTGCCTCACAGCTGCGTGTGTTATTGAATATGCTTCTATTACTGGTGCGGGTTCTGATGGAAGTTATTTCCAGCAATCATTACCAACACATCCATCCTGTTGCGGTGACCATTCTGTTATTTTCCCACTTGTTTCGACAAACGTGCTTTTTCTGTTGTGACACTTTTTCATTACAATCTGACATTGTTCATCTGAGAAAGTGACACGTGAATTTCAGTTAATTTGTGATATTTGTGATATTTGAGATATTTGTGTCTGGGCTTTGTCCACATCTCTTCTGCAACACACTAAGAATTAATAGAAAGGCACTGTAATGCCCTCTCTCTCCATTCACTCTCCAATTAATATGCAGTGACAAATACACAACCTGATTCGTGCAAAATAACAAACATTTATTCACCCTTCAGGTTTAAACTCACTCTTCACTTTCTCAGTCAGCGCAGGTTTCTTTAAACTCCATATAAATGTTTTCTGTGTATACAAGAGATTTGTAGTAGAGGCAGAGCCCAGAACTTATACAGCAACGGGATTCAGGTTCTGAGTGTGAATTCTGTAACTGGATTGAGGCATAATATTGCCTCGGGAGTGTTCAGGGGACACAGGTAGCGCGTTCTGTCTCACCAGCCATGAAGTGTGAGGCAGTCGTGAGGAACTATCATTTTGCAGCTAATCCCTAATGAAATTTGCCGTCATTAGAGCCAGAGAAAACATCTGGGCCCAGGTTGGGGAATCTGAAGAGGGGTGAATCTGGAATCTGGCTCCTGCAGCCAGGGGAGGGATGCAGGTCGGGGGAGTATGAAGGGGCTGAGGGGGAGAGTCTGCTGGATCCTGAGCAGATCTTACTCCCTCACATATAATTGTTCAGATAGCAAAGCACTCTCACACAGACACTTCATGATTTATCGCCTTTTAATGGGGAGAACTTCAAAGACTGGGGAAAAATCATTAAGAAAAATAACAATATGCTGATATCAGTCTCTGCCAACACATTTGCAGCAACATTATTTGACAGTGGGAAAAAGATTAACAACAAAAATGGATTTTAAAGGCTTATTAACAGGTAATGAGATATTTTTCTTTTTTCTTTTTTTTTCTTTTTTTGTCTATGAGAAAAGCCAGACTAAAAGGGTATCTTGTAAAACACACAACAGCATTAGCATGGCTTTTAATGTGCTGTCTTTCCAGTACTTTAAAGCTCTCATATTTCCCTGTGCTCTCTGTTTTTTTTTTAGCTCTAGCTGTATCGTTAGTTGTGTTTACTAATGAAATTTTTTGCTGTGATCACGCTGCATAAACAGCAATGGGCGTTTGTTCTATTTAAGACCAACTTGCCCAGCAAAGGAGATTTTCAATTAACACATGAAAGTAATTGGTATTCATTCAAAAGTAATTATCTTAATCTGAAAGGAATTCACTTGCCTTCCACCCAGTAATATGATTAACCTCAGCTGAGGCCAGAAGGAAGTGGAATGATCACTTGCTCCCTGTCGGCCGCCTGAGGCTGAATACTTTGCATTTTCTGCCTTTAATAAGACAAACGAATGTCTTTCTGTTCATTTTACAGATTATCTGATCGTTGTGCTGCTGCTGAATCCAGCACCCAGTAATGTGTAAGTTTAGTAGCAGCGCAGACTGCAGTCCTGCACTCCACCCCACAAGCTCAAATGGGACCGAGCAACAGCCATTAGGACATCAGGAGGGTGTGGGGATTTTCAGGACAGTCTTCTTTCTAGAGCGCATCAGAGAACTGGGACTGTTGTTTCCTAAAGCACCCTGGATTTCACTGTAGTCGCAACTCCTCCAAAACATCAGCAGGAAATGAGAAACAAATAATAAGAACCATAACTAATAATGTTGCTGGTTTAAAAAGACAATGCCCTCAGTGGAATAAGGACATTTCATATCGGCCCATCCTTTAGTGGATCGAGAGAGCACTAATATCTCACGCACTTTTCTGCTAAGCAACCTGATCATGGTCATCAATCAATGTGACTGGACCGTGACAGCAGGGAGAGTTTCTATGAAGGAATCAGTAGAGCTGTGGTGCTCTGTTGTAACTTCATCATGTCCTAAATAAAGTGCAATAATTAAGGCAAAAGACTAGATTTTCCACACTCCAAGAGAAATGAATAACCTCAACCAGTGTTGATCATGTCAGCTCTTCACAGTGGTGCGCATATTGAAGCATTACACTTTCTCATGTATTGTTCTGAAAGGTGTTAATGAAATGGCAAGAGAAGACGATGTCAGTTATGAGAACTGAGATTTTTAAACTCAGAATTCAATCTTTCTTAGCCAGCTATTATTCTGTATGTCACACTTGCTATATCTGTCTAAAAGAAGATTAAAAACAATTAAATTGGCTAAGTACCAGATAGTGCTAACCCAGCTCTTTATTGTTGGACAATCGCAAATAGTTCAAACAGTTTTATCATAAGATCTACTATATTCATCAACCTCAGATTCTCCACACGCCCTGTGCAGCAGGAGAAATGGTTCTTTTCTGTGGAAATTGGCGAGGCTGCTATAAATACAGCGATCTCGAATTATTTGTAATAAGCAGAACTGAATCACTCAATATGCGGCCCTGGAAGTTTTGAGCAAAAGAAGGACATCTGCTGTGTGAAAAGTAAGACAAACCCCTGACGTTCCAGCCGAACACTGAGCTGCTGAATTTCTGTCCCCACTGCTGTGCTGAGAAACTCATGGCCCCTTCCAGTCTCTTCTTTTATCTTTTCTTCAAGTGGTAGAATAATTATAGAGTTATTTGCCTCATTGATATAAATATATTAGAGACGTGGGGGCTGCTTCCTTTCTCATTTTTTGAGGAATATCGTGAGCACAGTAGACTGAACAAGGGGTCCTGGCACATGGTCCATGTGTTCTTTGTCCTGCCCAAAGGCTTTGTGGGCAAAGAGCCAGGGACCACTGGTCTCACAGTTTCGGGGCACTGAGAACCCCATTAAAGGACACGGGTCAGAGCTGTGACCACCAGGCACGAGGTCTTTTTGAAGATGCCTGGAGATTATAGTGGCATTTACTGCTTGGGCAATCGGAGCCATAGCCTGATATCTCCCTCTAGGAGCCCCAGGCTTGTTCTAACTGGGTCAAGTTAATAATTACCCACGTGCTTACACATGCAAGAATCTACAGTGCACACATTCACTTGTGCCCCGTACAATTCAGCACCCCCTGAATAAGAACTGTCCAGGTTTCCTCTCCTGTAGTAAAGATGTCAGTGTCAGGCCCTGCACGCTCTCCTTGCTGTGCACTGTACTTGTGACATTGGCTCATTTTAAGCGACCAAGGCTCTGTATATGTATATCTGAACATATCGTTTTTTGAAGTTTATTCATGTGTGTCATTGACTGATTTTCTATCGTTTTGAAGGCCGTTTAATTAATAGGGACATTTTGGCATTTTCTCTACCAGCGGCTTCCAAGCTGGGTGTCACCTGGCTCTGGCTCTGCTGGGCTTCACCTGGTTCTGCTGGGCTTCACCTGGCACGGGCTGGTTGGGCATCACCCAGCTCTGGCCCTGCTGGGGTTCACCTGGCATGGGCTGGTTTGGCAGCAAGCCCAGCAGCTGCCTTCACACCGTCAAGTTCAAAGTGCCCACTAGGGAGCCCTTTCACTTTTTACCCCAGTTAGTCATTCACCAAGATCATGAAAAAATGCTTAAGTGGAATAAGCAAAATGTCAGCAATTGATTTCCAAGTGGCTCTTGTCTTTCTTCTTTCTTCAGCTCATTTAACTTGAGCATTATCAAGCATTACATGTGGGTAGACATCCTCTTGGTCAACTGTACCCAGCATCTCCATAGGGAGCCCTCTGCAGCCTGCCATGCTTTAGATATCCCAGCACCATGACTAACTTAGTGCTTAAATGGATTCTCTGAGTGGTGCAGGGTCTCGCACAGCCAGCCTAATGCATTACTATTGTTGTTACCATCTCATACAGAATGGTAGCAATAACAAATGCCCTGAAAGACTGCAGAGCCCAACAAGTGCAAATACATTTCTATAAATAGCCTGTGCCCTGACTGAATTTGGGCTTTTTACTCTTGGACGGATCAATAAGGCCTTTTATGAACTAAAGGAGTGACTAGAGGTGAACAAGCCGGCCATATAGAGCACTCAGCAATACCGGCTGGGGGACTCAAAGCATGTGCGAAAGAAATTTCAAGGAAATAAGAAATATCAAGAGGTTGGGCAACACAGCAGGCTTCTCACTAATTTTTGAGTTTTTAATCTCTAAAACTTTCTGTGCAAATCAGGCTCGTGCCAGGTGGGACCTGATGGTCGGTGGTCTCTTTTCCAACAGGTATAGACACACCACATTTTGCTGGTTCCAGTGTAGGTTCCTCCAATGGGTGCTTGGTCTATGGGCATTGTGGACTTCTCAACGAGAGAACTGCTGGGTGGCTCAGACAACGTACGTTTCAGAGGACAGGGTCCGCAGGCCTCACCCACCACACCAAGACATGGTTCCAGTTGCAGGGGTAAGCCCAAGGTGGTTACAAATTGGGAGATTCTAATTTGTAGAGTATAAGAATAAAAAGTAAAAGCTTATTCAAAATGATTGAAAATTACAGTGAATTGACACCTACAAAATGGCTGTTGTAATTAATTTTAATGTGTTGATTATACACATACAGTCTAATAAAAAGGTCTTAGGAAGCAATAGTTTTAAACAAAATGGCTGATCTTGATAGTACTACATTTCCCACAAGGCTGTGTGGGAATGCTTGCGCACCCTCTGACACCTGACCAACAGGAGGAAAACAATTGGACAGGTGATTGTTTTAAACCAGGAAGTGACTGTTACTTGGAGCTGGTGCACTCTTTCTCCCTGTTATCTTCAGAAGAGAGTGATACTACGAATGTTAAAATAGAAATTACAACAATGTCAAGTGGAGAAGCTGAATTTGAGAAGCAAAAAATTCAGGACAACACAGTGAGTCTGCTGCTTCAACAAAGGAGCCCTTGAAGAAGCAAGCAGGAGGGAGAGCACAGATGATCAAACAACAAAACCAAGTAAGTCAGATTGTTCAAACCCAGAGCCAGGTTTAGCCAGGATAATGCGTTAACATCCCTGCACTTACTGTACAAACAGCCCTGGAGTGTTTAATGGCCAAGTACAGTGGTCAGACTTTCATTTTAATGTCTCATCTGAAGGATGAGTGTTGCTGGACACCGTACTGGGCATTTGTTTAGAAATTCTGCTCCAGAGGGAAGAGAGCCCCCTACTTCACAAGCAACACTGCTTCAAGCAGCAACCTGGTTTTCCATGAAGGTCTCCTTTCAAGGATGGGCAGTGGATAGCTTCAGACACCTGCAATCACACAGGGAGGCAGTAACAGTGCTGCCGGAATGCCGTACAGTGAATATCATGAATAGTGTTCTTTTAAAAGAAGTCGTAATTAGTAGTAATCTTTCATGAGGCCTTGACAGATTGTTTTCAGTCTTTCTGAAGTCCACTTTCATCACGAGAAATCAATAAGGAGAAATTCTGACTCTTCACTGCCTTTGCCTTGCCTTTATAGCGGCAAAACAACTGGTTGTTCATGTGAAGAAGAACAGGCCCAACAAGGTGATTCTTTGTGAAAGAAGGTTCGATTTTCACGCAGATTTGTACTGGTTTTTCATAGCAGCTTAGATACAAGCTTGTATAACTGAAGGTGATATTGTCATTTCTATACACTGTAATAAAACACATGCACACATGATGGGCAAAATATTAGGAACTCGCAGGCAATATAGATAACTGTTAGTGTAAGGCAATACAGTACAGTATGTGGCATGAGACCTTCATCAGTTTGCTTGGCCGGAGAGCTGAGAACTGGTGGAACAAGCACTACGGCTGCTTACAAACTGGCTGAAAGGAATCGTGCAAGAACAATGAGATGAGATTGGTTTGCAAATATTTCAAGCTGAATTTTCAGAGTCCAAATATATAATTTGTTGGCATTTCCTTATATTTTGGCAGCCATCCCACATCTAACATTAATTAATGTACACTTTTCCTAATTCATTCCCACATGTAGTAGCCCAGGGTGATTTAGATTTAAGCACATCAAGGTGTTCTAGCTTCTGTGATGCCGTTTTCTGTCGCCTAACAAGAATCTTGTGTTTCTTGTACAGCTTCTCATTTTCATCGCACTACAACTTATCTCCCTGAAACACCCCTTTTATCCAAACCACTGCCCTTAGGATGGTAATAAGATGGGCGATTCCTTCATTCTCCTCACACAGTACATATGTTAAAGGAGAAAGAGAAAGGAAAATGCAATCTATTGTGATATGGCAACCCATTATCGAAAATAAGATGTCTTCTCTTGGCTTATTGCATTAGCATTCACCATGAGTATAATGCAGTGGATTATATTACATTACACTCCTGGGCAAACAAGTCTGTCCCTAATTGCCAGCCCAATATTTGCATGTCCCAGGCTATGACACTGAACACCACACTAAGTAACAGGGCACAGGGAAAGCTCTATTTTAGGACACTAGCTGCTGTTGGAAGTATTGTTTTAAGGCCTTTTGGCAGAATTATGGAACCGTTCACCCTCAGCCCCAGAAAAATGTCTTCCCTCTTTCTTCCAAGGAAGAACTCAATCAGTGATGTTGCCATTACTGTTCACAAAATAAAAGCACGCAAGTTGAGAAAATGACAAATACTGCATTATGGAATAATTATAGCCCTTACAATATATATAATTACTGAGTGTTTGGTTAATAACACCTTTCTTAAATGTTGAGAGAAAGAGCACTCTCTGAAACAACAGATCTGTATATTAATGACCGTTAACTTTCCCAACGTGCACTGAGATAAGTTGTTCCATACAAGAAACTCTACATCATATCCTCATGTAAGAGGACTGCACTGTGACTGGAAGAAATTAGCTTGAAGGGAAAAACAGGCTTCGTGTTAATTGTAAGCGCCAACTTCTCGGTAATAGAGAGGCAGACCTTTCACCCAGGAGGCCTAAGTTTTCAGTTTTTGCCCTGTTCGTACAGGACATTGCTGCTGCTGTTCATGGAAGTCTTTCAATCTTCCTTTGGCCTGACTTCTCGAACTCCAGATTCAGCTCCTTGCTTAACAAATTTCCCAGACTGGTGATTTTGAAATTGTTATTATTCCAGGTCTTGTGCAGTTTCTTAGTGGACAAATAATAAGTCTATTGGACTGTAGTCTTTCACCACCTGCTCAGGACAAGCAGAACAGGGCTGTAGCTGCAAA